GTGCAGTCAGATAAGATCCCTCTAGAGCTGTCTGCCATTGAACCAGGGCAGCCCAGCAATGGCGTTAACTTCTGCGCACACCGCTCCGTTCAAGACCTTTGCTGAAGCTGAGCCTGGAGCTCATCAGGGGTTATTTGTTTGGGTTTTCACTGTGTTAAAGCACTGCTGAATGAAAAGCTCTCCAACAGCCTTCCCTCCATGTCTTTATCCCAGGTGAACAACAACGGTTTCCTCACCTTCAAGAAGGACTGGTCCTACTACGTCCCTCTGCGTTTCCCCGCCCGCTCCGGCGAGGACATCATCGCTGGCCTGTGGACGGACATCGACAACAGAAACCAGGGGACGATCTCGTACCGCGAGGTCACCGAAGGGGACGTTCTTCTCCAGATCTCGCAGGACCTGAGCTACTACTTCTCTCTCCCCAGCTTCAATGCCAGCTGGGCTTTCGTTGCCACCTGGGACAGAGTGGGCCACTTCCCGGTCAGCTCAGCGGTAAAGAGCCCACAGCTCTCTCCTGTGCAGGGCCAGATCATGAGTCATGGCCTCCAGCCTCCTCAAGATCCGCGGGGGTGGACTGTCCCTTTCTGCATTAACAGCAAATTCCCAGGAATTCCCCACATGACGTATCTGCTTACAGAACTGCCTGCTTTATAGGTGGAAGCCACTTCATGTCAGAACATTGTAGAAAATACTGGGAGCAAGCTTGCCCTGGGGTTACTGCTCCTCTCCCATATACTGTGTGTTTTTCAGGAATCCACATTCCAGATTGTCCTTGTGTCAAATGGGAATCTCGGCTTCATTCTCTTCAACTACGACAACATCGCCCCTCTCCGAGGAAGTGTAGAGGTAAGGTCACCTGCCCACGGGGTTCAGATGGAGTTATCAGTTTGTTTTCTTGCTGGGGAGATGTGTTGGAGATTTAAATATGCAGAGAGACCCACACAGCCAGCTGTTCCACTGACACACCTTTGCCCTTTGCCATTGCACTCTCACTTGTCTCCTAACACTCAGGGTTTCCATTCCGAAACGTGGAGGGCTGGCATGTCTGTAGGTTGTCTGGGTCTCTAAAGGATTAAAGGACCTGAAGGGCTGGGAGAAGCTAATCAGTTCAGTGAAGCTCATGGCAAGCTGATGAAGTCACTTACGATTTGGCAGCATATATAGATTTAATTGTTAAAAAAAATCACAACAAAATCATTTGAATGATTTGGAAGGCATATGAATCTGTTTCAGATGCTTTATTGTATTAAACTTCTTCTTGGAGTTAATTTGCATAGCAGTAATATATTATAGTAGGATATATAATAAATATCCTGTAGGATATATAATATATCTGTACATTATAAATGTAATACATTCTGTAATACAATAGGAGCAGTTCTGTGATAATCTGCTGAGTCGTTTCTTGTACAAAATCATTATGAAAATCAAACACACAGATACTGTGAGTGTTTTTAATGTTGCTGAAGCCTCGTAGCCTCGAACTGAGACAGTTTTGTTCTCTGTTCCAGGCCGGCTATGATACCACCAACTCGACATATTACTTCCTCATTCCTGGGTCCTTCGACAGCGCCATCACCAGGCTGAGAGAGACCAGCAACGTCAATCACCCGGGGAGATGGGTCTTCCGGACCGATAACCATGCCAGAAGCTGCTTTTACAACGGTATGATGATTTGGGTTCTGCTCTGTGCAGGATTGTGCCTCAGCTCGCTGACTTTTCAGTAAAGCTTTTAAACTTGTCTGTGTAATTACTAGTTAAATACAATTGTAACGTCAGTCAATATTGAGCATTTTTAAATTTTAGACATCCCAATAGTCTAAATCAGTTTAGAATTTTGTGAATAGGCCAGAGGAGTCCAGTCCTCATGAACTAAGATCAATAGAGTGTTATCTATCTAATTCCAAATGGGGCTAGAAATTATACAAATTCCCTTGTTACGTTTCTTGCCCAGGTCAGCCTGTCCAGTTTGGAGAGTCCTTCTGGACAGACAGCAGCTGTGGGACGTACTGCACCTGTGCAACAGACGGAAACCTGCAGTGTTCCTACCAGTCCTGCGCTTACTCGCAAGTCTGCCAGCTTTCCACCTTCCAGTACCAGTGCGAATGGGTCTCCAAAGGCTACTGCTACTATTACACTGACCCCCACTAC